GGGGAGCAGGGTACCCGTGCGGAAACAGCACAGGGTCACGCATAGATTACCCAGGAGGTTTCGCGCAGCAAGCTAATATAACGCACGCTGGCTGCGCGTGGGGGGGGGGTACCCGGCTTCGCTGAATGGTAGGGGGAGCGCCCACGGTAGTTCATCTCGTATGCCATCGTGTGCTAACAGAAGCTGAAGCTAATCTTAGACGCTTCGAGGTCAAGCGTCGAGAATGCTGGCAGTAGAAAGTATCGCGTGCGTGCGAGCACCGGAGGGCGGAGGGGAGGAGAGAAAGAGAAAGAGAAAAGTCGCAGTGAAGGGAGAGGTGGGATAACGAGAAAGGTGAATAAAGAAGGGGAGGGGAAAGAGAGCGAGAAGTATATGGAAAGGAGATGGGAAATGGGAATGGGAACTAAAATAGTAAATTTTGTTTTTTGGAAAAGAGAAAAGATGGTAAGCAGATGGAGAAGAGAAAGAGTGTGAATGAGAACCATATGCAAGAAATAAGAAACTATGAAAATTAAATGCGAGTTAAAAGAGAAGAAGAGCCTGAAAGGCAATAGGGAGGAGACGATGTGTGGGAAAGAGATGGAGAGCGGGAAGATGGAGGCGTGGAGGCAGCGTGTTGTATCGTTCACGAGCGGCACCTCTAAAACTATACTTCTAAAAATACACGACAGCTCTGCCCTATGAGATCCGTCTAACGACGTAACGATTACTTGGTGTTTATTAAGCAGTGTAAGTGTGACATTAATTGAAGCTACGAGGGTGTAAAAGCTGGGCTTTCTAAGCACTGCATTCGCGCATAGAACTATACGTAAACCGTGGCCGGATTCACTTAGCATGTACCAAGCTGGGTGGGAGGAATTATGTCTAATGAGATGTGTTCTAGGGCGTTTTCACAGCCACACAGTCAGTGCAAAAGAAGTGAAACTCTGCTAGGTATCACACTTGAACTGAGGAAATACATCTGGTCGACAACACCGAGTATTATTGAGAGAGCGACCCAGTCGCCCAGGGCTGCACTGCGGCTCGGTGTCACTGCGCGCATAGGGCCTACATTAGACCTCGGACCTGTTGCCAGAAACATCACGAATAGTTATGACTACGTACACCGTAACTCTAAAAGGTTATAACTTTTGCTCGACATTTTCCTTCAAAAGTGATTACCATGCACTTCTTCTTCAGCCACCCCCTGTCTTTTTTAAGCGCGTAAGATCGGCCGAAAAGCGTTGTCTTGTGTTGCCAAAGCGACAAGCGACGCGAGCGCCATTCCCCATATACATTAGCATAGGGGAAGGAGTGTGGCTGGATGCTGCTGCTGAAATGACAGTTTTAGATTGGATTTTTGCATGTAAGTCTCCTTCGACATTCTACAACTATAACTCTAACTCTAACTATAACATATAATATGTTAGCGCTGTTGTGTGATTCCCATCAATAATTTTTCCAAATTTTTGGTTTGTAATGTGTCCGCGAGGCGGCGCTACTTGGCAGTCATGGCAGATACCGATGATGGCGATGCATCGTCAAATCCTAAAGCAGATGAAGAAACGAAATCAGAGGAAACGGAGGAGGTTTCTGTGACTGTGGATGCGGAGAAAAGGCTTGAACCTCCCACTGTTGTAGAAGCTCAACCAACAACCCAACAGCAATCGAAAAGTTCGAATAATGTTTCTTGTTTATAATTAATAATATAATTTATAGGCCTATTTTAATTTAGTAGGCCTATAAGTATAATTTACGCAGTGGCTACGGCCATATGCGTCCCCGGAACCGGTTCGTCCTAGCCTCGCAGCTACGCGTCCGAGACCATCCACTCAACACGTGATTCGCGGCGGATCTCGCGTTACGACGCAATGATTGCGCAAGCGGGACGCTCTGCTGCCGGTCTATCCTTTCCTCGCGTCCTCATCTCGCTCTTCCCTCTCTCTCTATCTCACAATTAGTCTCTCTCTCTCGCTCGTCCTCGTCGTTGACCGGTTCTCTCTCTCTCTCTCTCTCTCACACACATACACACACACAAACACACACACACACATCACACATCACACCACACACTATCACCTCTTGCTGAGGCTCTCTCTCCTCTCTTCTCATCTCTCTGATGCATATACACCACACACATACACATTCCCATTCCCTCTCTCTCTCTTTCTCTCTCTCTCTTTCTCTCTCTCTCTCTCTCTCTTTCTCACACGCACACGCACACTCACACTCACACACACACATACTCGGCAATCAGCAGAGCGTCCCATTGCGCAATCATGCGTGTACGTGTCACAAGCTCACTGTGTGAGATGGATGTCCGGACGCGTAGTCTAGCGGCTCCTCGCCCGGAACCGGTCGCGTAGCCACGGCCTTATATTTGTTAATACTCAATGCAATGGCTATAGGCATATTAATATTATGCCTATGGCCATTGCATTGAGTATTGTGTCAACTATTGAACTAGCTTGTCAACCAAGTTTAAGCATTAGTTTACTAAGGGCAGTTCTCAGTCAGTTCTCCAGTCCATGCTAGCTATCACTTGCGATCATTATTTACTGATATCATCAAGCTTGTAGCCAGACATAGTTCTATCATCCTGGAGTGTAGTAGTAGTAGTGAATTTGTAGTTTTACATCTTGGCACTATGATAAAGTTAAAGGACTGCCATGGACTGCGTAAATGAGTGACCCTTGTATCTATCTTTTGCGTCACCTCCTTATACGTCTTTTTTATGCAACTATGTAGTCAGTATTCTGATGAAGGCAGCTGGAGATGCTCCGATCTTAAAGGTGCGCAAGTGGGCAGTTGACCCAGACAGAACACTTTCCACAGTAATAGACAAACTCAACAAGATACTCAAAACTGCGGAAGGAGAGTCGGTGGTGAGTTGCCCTTCACTGTCCATGACTGAGCTTCTTCCACAAACAGCCAGTGATCACAAGCAGTTTACATCACAACAAAGAGTTACGTTAACTGAAAGACACGTGCACAAGTGTGCAGTTAATGACAACCTGGCCTTCTCTTTCCTTGGGTTTCTGAACTTACATGTTTCCCACGTGCAAAATGCTGTAAGGAGTGTAAAAGTGAGCAGAACTCCATACTATGAGATATTTTCCTGAACTAGTGCCAGCTGAATTGCACCAAGTCGTGCATCCTGATATATTGCAGAGAAGGGTCATGGGAGAGATATCGATGTATAATATGAAGTGTGTTTGGATATTTTTTAATGTAATTGGTAATAAAAAAACATTATTTGTTTCCTTTCAGTTTGTGTATGTCAATCAGTCCTTCGCTCCATCACCAGACCACAAGCTAGGCACCTTACAACAGGTAATGTGCTAATGCACTTACACGTCATGTATCTGTAGCCTCATTAGGGCTGTAACGATACACAAGCCTCTCGATTCGGTCCGGTTCTCGATATTAGCCTCTCGATTCGATTCCTTCGATTCGATTCCCAAAATATTGAAGTGTTATCTTATTTTTTATATTTTTATTATTTGGCAATAATAAATTATTAGAAATTGCCAATGAATACTAAATGGTGAATAGACTAGAGTCTAGAGAGTATATACACTGCACAGCCGCTGAGTAACATTGGTGAGTAACACTCCACAGTATATAGTGTAGTGCCGCCATCTATTGGAGGAAAAAAGTGGTATCGAAGTGAAACCGAAAATACGGGGAAAAATATCGAGGATCGGATCAAGGGAAGAGAGTCGCGATCCGATTCGATTTCGGTGGATCGTTACAACCCTAAGCCTCATGGCAACTAGATACAATAATTTCACCTAACAGCCTAGAGGGTTACTACTACTGTTACCGCTATAGTAGGTTACAGTAAGGTTGAGTGGGACAGAGTAAGGTTATCCCTACACTGTTAAGTTACATTATTGTATCTACATTGTGACATTTTTAGAAAGCAAATTTACATCCGTCCAGTTTGTATCTTTATGATATAGTTAGACTTCACTTTACATGACTTTCAGAAAGTCTCATTACGTATCTCTTATGAGATGCATTTATTTGTTGGTTAAAATTGGTTGAACCATTTATTGGTAGAATAAAACAAAATTAATTGCAAAGATTGCTAACAATTAGTCATATTTCCTTTGCAGTGTTTTGGGAGCGATGGCAAGCTTGTTCTTCACTACTGCAAGTCGCAGGCGTGGGGCTAACTCGTGGCTCCATCTAGTGGAGAGTTGGTTGTAATTACGGCTGTTCTTTTCCACCAGGCAAACACTAACAGTCGAGTCGCATGTTTAATGTCGCATTTTTGGCATTGCACTGCAATATATTCAGTACCACACTTTAATGTCTTTCATTAATTATTCTCTGCAGTTTCTGGTGTAATTGTTTATGCTGGGTATAGTATATGCTCACTTAGTGCTCAGTTACTATTATAGTGTTACTTCGATGGCAAAGTAATGGGGTGCAGACTAGTATTACTATCTGTATCTGCATCACTGTCTGAAGAGTAGTTCACTATTAAACAAAAGTCCTCCAGATGGTGTGTGCCTATCGATGTTATTTGAAGCCAAGGCAGATTTTTAACCGTTTGGGTGATGCAGTAGAGATAATAGACTTTAGTAAAGAGTTCTAGTCGCTGACACACCGTGGAATACGTTTTGGAAAATATTGGTGTGAAATGTAGGTATTGAGATAGCCTTCGAGTGTCTGTTCCTAGGTGGTCAAAGGTTGACTTGAACATTGGCGAGAGCAGGAATCGTTACCATGTCATTAATCTTTTAGAGGAAGACAAGAAGCTGGTCTTTTTCTCTCGGAAATCTTCTCAACAATTCTTCTACTAGTAATTAACTGAAGAAATATCAGCTAATCAACAGATGGCATTGCAAGAAATTTGTGTTTTGCAATAAGTATTGTCGGACATGTATATAACATTGTATGTATATTGTATTGTGAAGTTAATATATGATATATGATTATTATCCATTTCTTACATGATTTGAATATCCTTGCTACCGTTTTTAAATTTTCTACTAATTTTAGGAGGATTCCATGTTCAGAGATTTATACCCACCAGATAAAAAAAACGGGATTTATTATTAATGGCTTACCAGAGATGCCAACCACTACGATTTATCCGTATTTAATACGAATTTCGTTTGGATTTTGACCACTACGACCAGTTTGCATACTACAATTTTTATTACGATCGAAAAAAAAATCAGTGATGATATTTCAAGTGTTTTCTTTCAGTGTTACATTGATATAACATGATTGAAAATAACTACATGTATTTAGCAGCAAATATCAGTGCGAACTTATTGTCATTTTGGGTCCCAGAATGCAGGAAATTGCATCTCGGAATCAAAAATTTTCCGGGTGGGGGGCATGCCCCGAACCCCTTCTAGCATACTCGGGTCACTGCGTGACCCTCGGACTACAGGTTTCAGACATCCTCACTACAGTTAGCTCAGAAGTGTTGGCATCTCTGGCTTACTATAGTAGCTGAGTAATGTGTAAAACGCAATTGATTCTAGGAAGTATAATTGTTTAAATTTTAGTATTTTTTATTACATGTGGGAACACTAATTTTACATGACGAATTAAGTCACTTTTTCGTTTAGCACATGTGCCGCATATATCCACTTAAGTAGGTTTTAAAAATTCGCGCAGGTCATGCAATTATTTCGTATACAAATATGTACCACAAATATAATGCAAATGATGTAGACCAGTGGTGGTTTACATATATTCAAACCTGTGGTAGTGCATGGACAACTATGAACCAAAAACCTGTCTATAAAACCAACTTGGTAGATCTCATGAGTGGCAGTCATCTAGTTAAACCACTTCCAAAGGACAAACGCCTCGTCTATAAAGGACACTTAGAGGAGTTTCCTTTTGTTGTAATTATTCACAAAATGGGCCATGAAACAAATATACCTACAAATATATATAATTCTATATTAACATCTCTTCATTTCATACAAATTTATACACCAAGAAATTACTTGCTTATACGCAAATATTCATATATCAGACTAATGCACATGCTCACCATAATGTTAAAAAGGGAGGCACAGAATGGCTGTAGAAAACTTGTACAATCTAATGTTAATCTCGAATACACGCTCCATAATATTCCAGATTATTCACATATTAATTATCCCAGCCACAACCATGATTACTGCATTGTTTATGACACTATCACAGCTACTCAACAATTTTAATTAAACTGGAATGGATGCGTTATACATTCGTGATCATGAATTAAACCAAGATAAAATCTTAAAACGCTTGCAGTGCATGATCACTGCATCATTTATGATCACACCATAGCTGCAAATGCATCAGTGCATCACAGCCTCCATCCCCCATGCACACACCCGCCGTTCTCTGGCAGACTCAGCCGTTCTTTCAAGCAGGGTGCTGGAACTTGAGCACCCATGCGTGCTGGCTCGGCATGTCACGGGGAGACAGCGCAGGCATGGCGACGACGACGCCTCCACGCGGGCGAGGTTTCCACTCCAGCGCGGCGGCGTGGCCAAGCATGTTCACACTCATCTCAGACTGTGGGGTGACGGATGCTAGATGAAGCTGGTTATTAAGAGGCCAGTGCAGCACGATCGCATAGACGTGTCGCGAGCCGTCTGCTGTCACCTTGCTCGTGTACCTGTGCGAGAAAGCAGGTGATTAACAACTTGCTGTATTATATACCACATTATATATTATCTCCTGATTATATATTGCGGTATTGTATTGTATGTATATGGACCACTGCATGAAAACCCAAGTGATTAAAAGAAACCGAGTGAAAATGCAAGCAAGAAGAACTGCTGTTCTATGAGCACATGGTATGGGTTGGCACAAACTACCTTTACATTTACCCCTCTTTTGCTTTCGCATATGCTATATGATCTGACAAGGTGATTCAGTACTGTAAAAGCAACTGCATAACTAGCTAAGGATTGTTGGATGATGCTCATGGAAACAGCTAATAACGATATGAACTTAGGTGTACAATAAGTTTACAGCAGTATACGTGGAAACGTTACTTCTGCTTTACACATACAGACACATCATGGAAACTTCTTTCTGCTATATCATCCCGCTATATACACCCCACAGAAAATCACTTCCTCCCATGGTGCACTCATGCCAACTGCTGAATAATGATTACCAGATGTCCGGCGTGTAGGTGTCGTTCTGATGAGTCCAGGGCTCTGATGAATAGATGGCTTCCCCATTAACTTTCAGCCACTGCCCCAGCTCCCTCAGCCTCTCCTCAAAGATTGGCAAGATTAATCCGTCCGCTGTCGGTCCAACATTGATCAACAGGTTCCCGCCACAACTGTGCAGCATGCGGTCGGGTGTTAGCGGAAAAAACAATAAGCAAGTTGGGTTTATGACATCAACACAATTTCACTCAGTTGCTAGGCAATGAAAGTGCGATTATTCATGATTCGAAGCGGAAAAGATATGAATAAAACGCAATCGCCACAACTCTTATTTCATCGATAGCTTTGGTTCTGGGACTACATGCAGGTCTCTCTCCTCTAACACATGTGTGCAGTTCACACGTTGATTCCACAACCACTCTCAGGCACCGCTTCACCACATGATGTCAGCTAGAATGCTTAAGCATAGCGTGCGCACGCACGTTTGTATGTATGCGCACAAGCAAGCGATTCACCTGACAGTAGAAGCTAGAACGGTCAGTGTCTCATGGATCGTGAGGTAGTTTGTGAGGTTACTGCGCCGATTGTAGCCCCACGACGACTTGTCGAGAGTCATGCAGTTCTCCCACTTATGGTTTTGTAAGATACCTACAGCAGTTCAATCATGGCCAAGATTACTGCTCACAAAAACTTCACACCGAAAAATAAATGCTGCCACATGTATGTTATGCCAATTATAAATCTATATGAAGCCATGATGATGTGAATGTTATCATTGTAGCTTCTAGTTACGTCAGCTTACAAATATCAAGAAATTGCTCAGCTGCGAGTGCATGTTATGATGTCCTCACGAATTCTAGTATTTGCATGAGCTGAAATGAAATATTGTGGCATTATTGCTTTCACCTATTCTAATAACATTATCTGCTTTCACATGAGTTTGGATTTGTTGTTTCAAAGTCGTCCCGTTTTCAGCATTTCTAAGGTGCTTTTCTCACAATGACATTATGCACTGACAAAATATGAGCTAATCTCACAAACCAACTGTATGTCTGATATATCACTGAATGATATTGACACGTACCTGGATTATATCTGTCCACACACGTGTAATATCCACCATGTTTGCATAACGTATCCTTGCCCCAGCGATCGTTAGTCACCACAGTGTCCTTCACTGGACTGGTAAACAAAATAAAAGTGTGCTTAACACTGGCAACATGTTGGCTGCGTTAAAAGATAAGCACAGCTCGTGTGCGGTGGGGGCTTAAAAAGCCTATAACTGTCTGCAAGGTTATCGGTCCAACAATCATAAACGTAAGAATAGATTAAGTAAATGAGCAAAGCCGTGTTGAATTGGATGTAAGGATGCCCGTAGATGAGGCTCTATAACAACACTTCTACTCCCTCTCGTTACCTCTCATTGTACAGCCATGCCAGGAAGTCAGTGCTGTTCCAGTAAGTATCCGGGGCCTCCCACTCCCCATCTGACCAGATGATGTCAGGTCGATAAGCGTTGACGATTTCGTATAGTTCAGGCATCGTCTTCGACTAAAATGGGACACAATTCCTGTATGGCTCAAACAGGAATAACAAAAGGAATATCTGGTGTGGATCACAGCACTTCTCTGCATGGTTACACTGTGTTGTTATCACAACAAAATTGAAGTGTGCTTCAGTTACGCTGATAGGGTCTATATCTCCCTGCATGGGTACTGCCGGAACGTACCCTGGTTACGGAACGTACCCTGGTAACTATCTGATATGGTTAGGGTTAGGGTTAGGGTTAGGGTTAGGGTTAGGGAGTAAGCGTAGGCGACTCCCTAGACTCGTTAGTGGAGTAGGCGAGGTACGGTCTGGCATATTAGATAGTACCAAAGTACGTTCCGGTATACCGGACCGTACCCAGGGAGATATAGACCCTGGCAGCTTCAGTTACATAACCGAGTTTCATTTTACTAATTGGCATTGTTGACTAGGCGTCTTACCTTCACAAAATGTTTAGTGGCCCATTTGCTGCTTTTGTCAGCCAGATAAAGTGGGTGGAACCATTCAAAGAGAGAATGGTACAATCCAAACTTCATACCTCTGTTTCTAACAGGTCCAGCCAGTTCACCTACAACGTGCAACTTCAAATATCAAATATGCATACATGCATGCAGCTATGTAATTACTTAAGTAATGAAACAGCAATACAAATTTAAATAGACAAAGTGGGGGCCTGCAAGATATATAAGGCTGTGACATAATATTATTATGAACAAAAGATGGCAGAGCGAATAAAATTGAAACCAAAATTTGTTGTTATAAATGCTGAATCAATTACAATAAGAATGTTGGCGTCTCTACTAGATCTGTACGTGCATTCAACAGATCTTTCTAATTTAAACAACGTTTATTTCATGAACAATAAACTTACCAATCACGAGCATACACATATACACTATAACATCTGCTACCTAATCCATTTTTGAAGCACACTTAATCTTACCAACTAGATCTTTATGTGGACCAACATCCATTGCATTCCAGTTCCAGGATACATTGGAGGGCCAAAGTGTAAATCCCTCATGGTGCTTGCTGGTTAGCACCACATATCTGCAACATATATGATTGTTTAATGATACACAATATTAAAGGGACAGTAGCCTCTAGGATTTTACTGCATACAACTGTACTTACTGTATAACAAATCGTCTATACCCACATGTATTTGTCACCAGATACTTAATTAATTATTTACACATCAACGCTACGAATAATTGAAAAAAAAAAAAAAAAAAAAAAAAAAAAAAAAAAAAAAAAAAAAAAAAAAAAACAAAAAAACAACGGCGCGCATGAACATGCCGCACCGTGCTGCCACCCTGAAAAAGTTGCGTATTTGCATTTTTATTTGCAGCGTAAATGACCGGGGCTAATCACAAAAGTGAATTATATTTATCCTAATGTCTATTTAACCGATACGATATTCATTTTAGGGCAAATTTATCCATATTATACTGAATATAATGTCGTTTATAAGATATTATCAATCCTTTTGCTTTTAATGAATAAATAGAAATACCTCGGTCTGTAGCCCTTGGCTGAGAAGTGGTTTTGCGCAACTTCATCGTGGCGCTTTGGTGGCCCACCGTCGTTTGAATCAAACTGTAGTCGTTAGTTTTAACATTAAAGAAAAATATTTCTATGCGTGGATGCAAACCATGGAAACTTTTTATGTTTAGCGCAATTATAACCTAAATTAGCTGAAAATAACCCTAGAACCTAGAGGCTACTGTTCCTTTAAACATGTATTTTAACCAGTCCCTTTAATGTGTGCAGATCTGAAGTCGAATTTTTTTACTATTAGGGAAGTGTTGCATGGCTCAAGGTTAATTAGAACTTTTAAGGGACCACTGCAAGTTGGAGGTACGGATTTCCTTGGCTGTTTCAAGTACAGCGTAATCTTGTACAAGATTGCCGAAAAATAAATACACATAATAATAATAATATTAATAATTGTACAGAAGAACAGTATTGTACAGAAGAATTGTATGTAGTACAGTAAAGCGAGGTACGTGTAGATACCTATATATAGACTGACTATGCACACAAATAAACCTACCGCGCACCAGACGAATTGAATACATCTGCCCAATGAGTGGCATTGAAGAGTTCTCCAGTGAACTTTGGCGCAAACTCTGCATACGTGAAACCCGGTTTGTAATTGTCCGCCATAAATTTGACATGATCAGGATTTTTAATACCTTGCCAATTCCACCAAAACCATTCAGACCCAAATGCAGGCACAGAAAAGACACCCCAGTGTATGAAAATGCCTATTTTTGCCTCATCATACCACGAAGGAAGTGGTCTGGAATCGATAGAATTCCAGTTTGGATCATACTTCACAGCTGTGAGCCCAATAAAACAGCACACCAAAAGAGAAACCAAGAGCATGCTCTTAGCGCATACTGTCCTCGCCATCCTCAGCTTCTTTCTGTATTATAATTTGAGTATATAGCCTATAGGCCTATGTGACGAGCGTCTATACTGACACTCAGTGAGTCAACCTGTACTGCGGTGTGCAGCAAGTAGGCCCTAGTAAAGTCCAGCGTCGGTGGAGACGGAACACGCAGTCTCAACTCAACAAACACAAGGAACCAAGCGCCTACAGGTCCAAAGAGCTATTTACTATTCACTCTGGTTATTACTAGATATTACCAGCCTGATACGCTACGTTTACTGCAGTTTTGTTATAAATTAGGTACCGATTTACGGTTCTACTACAGAGTACAGTTTCTTCCATAACAATAATAATACGCCACTGTATCACCGAACATTTGATTGGTCGTTGTAGTTTACATTACTTATGATTGGTCGTCACGGATTTCTTCTATGTCACGTGGTAGTGACGAGTAGATGGGCACCTCTCCTCTTTGTTAATTAAAAGAAAACGAAGTGTTAGAATTTGGGATCCGTCTATAAATTCGGATCCAAAATGGCAACCTCTTGCGTTCTTGTTTGTTCGTTGAGTTGATTTGTGGTTTCGCATCTCATACTGTCTACTATTAAATTCTGCGGTAGTTGTAATTACGATTAGGTTAGATTCGATTCTCACAATGGCTGGAGAAGTTGTTGTAGATGCTCTTCCTTACGTTGATCACGAGTACGATGAACCCGGCGTACGAGAAGCGGTACGTACGTGAACTCAGTTAGGGCACTGTTTAACTGGCCCTAGGCCTACTACCTAGTCTAGTTAACATGTCCCACAATACTTCATGTCTGCAATACAATACACAATGGGTCATGTCTTCTAGACTAGCTCCGTTTGGCGTTTAACATGACCCACCCGCCAGAGGTCGACCACTCGGACCAGCTCGGCACGTGGGTCGAGATCCGGAGATGATCCGCCTGGGGATTAGGCAAACGACGTGGATATTCGTCCGAGCATCGGACACCTGTTCGTATGCGCTGTTCGTCCGAGCAGTTGCTGCGCATGCGCTGTTCATGTTGTATTACATAAATGTAATATAATGCTAGTCTAGGGAGTCGCCTACTCTCCAACCTAACTCTAATACTAACCACAATCTAAACCTACCACTAATTATTTAACTCTAACCTAACTCTAATACTAACCACAATCTAAACCTACCACTAATTATTTAACTCTAACCTAACTCTAATACTAACCAGTAACCACAATCTAAACCTACAACTAATTA